CCACAAGGTAATCATCTTTATCTTGTTCTGGAAATTGTATTGTTTTAACTTCTACATTTAGGTCTGTGATTTCTTTAATGTGTGTGTGTGTGTTGGATGCTTGGGCTTGAACCCAGGGCCTTTTGCATGCTAAGCACATGGTCTACCATTGAACTACACCCCAGCCTAGAATCCATTTTGAGTTAGTTTTTGCATATTGTGCAGTGTATGGGTTAAGGAGTTTTTGTTTGTTCCCTTTTTTTTTTTTTTTTTTTTTTTTTTTTCCCCTCTCTTTCTTTTTTGCTTTGGATATCCAGTGGTTCTATCATACATAGATTCTTGTGCGAGGGAAAGTAGCCCCAGAGACGTTTGGGGCTTCTATAAAGTCCTCTTATCCAATATATAAACTCCTCTTCTGCATGGTTTTTAGTTAATATTTTATATAGTTGGCTAAAAATGTAAGGCCTTATTAAGGCATAAAAAAATAGGCCACTGGAGTTTCTTAGTGAAATTAAAATGATACCTGGGTCTTTTTTCTCCATCTTCCACTAGTTTACTCTTTAACCTTCAGTTTGGTAGGGGTTATGGCTATTTTTAGAGTAAAGGCAGGAGAGCTAATCTAATTAAACTCCTCCAGCTACCTGGGGCAGTGAACTCATCAGCTTTTCTAAGCCCAGCATGGTTTGCTCTGGACTGGATGTACGTGGATATTGATAAAAGTAGAAACAGTGGATTTTGGGGGTGGGGTATGTAATGCATTGAAGAATGAAGAAGAGTCAGACTGGTGATGCACACCTGTAACCCCACCTACTGGGGGCGGGGCTGAGATGGGAGAACTGCAATTTCAAGGAAAATCTGGGCATTTTAGTGAAACCTTGTCTCAAAATAAAAGAGGATTCAGGGTATAGCTCAATGGTAGCATACCCTTGAGTTCAATCCTCAGTACTGGGGGAGGGGGGGCGTGAAGTAGTGTGAGTTTGAGTCAAATGTCCCAAACTTCAGATTATAAGGTTGTATTTGTTGGTGAGTGCAAAAAATTCTAGAGTGGCTCCTATACTTGAGCCTAGGGCACAGACACAGTATCTCTGCCTGCTTTAATTTTGATAGCATTTTAAATAGCTCATAACAAACTACTTTAGACTGGTGCCTTAAACAACAGAAATTCATTTTTTCAGTTCTGAAGGCTCCAAATCAAAAGATTGAAGTGCCAACATGATTGGTATCTTCTGAAGGCTTTCTTCCTCTCTTGTACATGTAAACCTTATCTCTGTGTCCTAACATGGCAGTGGGGAGACAGAACTCTCTGGTGTCTCTTATAAAGACATCTTGTTGTGTGGGCCTCAGCTGTGACTTCATCTAAACCTAATTATATTCCATAGTCTCCTTATCTAAATACTACCATGTTGGGAGTTATTCCTTCCACATATGAATGGGGGGGGGGATAGATAGAACTCAATTGTAGTTACTGTACTTTCTGCACTAGAGTTGAACTGGTTTTTTCATTTTGATAGATTACAGTGTCTCTAAATTGCTGAGGCTGGCCTTGAAATCACAGTCCTCCTTTCTCAACCTCCCCAGCCTGTAGGATTACAGGCATGTGCCATCACATGCAGCTTTTGATTAAAATTCATATTCTAAGAATAACAACTCATTCCAATAGTGGTTGTGTTTTATTATTGTCATCATATCTTGACTTTCTAGAGAAGTGGTCCCATGAAATTTGAATTAATGCACTTAAGAGGTGAAAGATGACCCAGTGATATACAGGAAAAGAATGTTGAAATATCTATTAGGTATTTATCCTAGAAAAGTTATCTGAATATTTAGTGAGAATTGACAGTATATCAACACATATTGGGCGTTTATGCTCAAATTTTTCGCTGAGAGAGATTCATGAAGTTTGGAGACCACTACTCCAGAGTACCCTTTTGCAGAAGTTATAAAATTCGACTTATCTATACCATCTCTGGAATTACTATAGGTAGAGTGTCCCTTATATGAAATGCTTGAGACCAGAAGTGTTTCACATTTCAGAGTTTTTCAAATTTTGGAATATTTGTATAGATTTTACTGGTTGAGCATCTCTAATAGGATGAAAATCTGAAGTGCTCTGAAATCTGAAACTTTTTGATTATAATGTCAGAGCTCAAAAAATATTAGATTTTGGACACCCACCCCCCCAGGGATTGAACCCAGGAACGCTTAACCACTGAGCCACGTTACCAGTCCTTTTTTTTTTTTTTTTTTTTTTTTAATAGCTAGAGAAAATAAAGTTCAAAGAAGGTTCAATACCTCATGTGAGGGCATGAAGTATGCTAAATGGCTTGGCTCACATACTGAAATCCTGGACTTCTGGTTTTTTAGTCTAGGAATGATTTTACTAAACTCTGGCTTCTGTCTGTTAACTTGGTGATTAAACAGGGTTGACCTAAGTTTCTTTTTTTTTTTTCCCTTGGATACTGAGAATTGAACTCAGGCGCACTCAACCCCTGAGCCACATCCCCAGCCCTATTTTGCATTTTATTTACAGACAGGGTCCCACTGAGTTACTTACTGCCTCTCTAAGTTGCTGAGGCTGGCTTTGAAAGCTATCCTTGAGTCAGCCTCCCCAGCTGCTGGGATTACAGGCGTGTGCCACTGCACCCAGCTTGACCTAAGTATTCACAGGGTTTTTGCTTTTTGAATTTAGCAATAAATTCTAACAGCTATTTTCCTCTAAGAGAAGATTTGTTTTTGAAAGAACCTTACACCAGGTCCCACCAAAACTACTCCATAACCTCTTGGTATAAGTTGAACTTCCTGGCTCCCTCTTTCCCACATCTCAGAGCTGGGTATGAATATAGTCTCTGGCTGTTCCTGACCATGGAGTTGGAAAAGCAAATATGTGTTTTAGAGCAGATATGACTCTATATAAAGTTCAGGCAGTTTGGACTATTGTAGAAGTTGATTAGTTTTGAGAAAGATTCTCTGGAGCTGTCTTTCTAGATTCTTATCTGGGAGTGGATAATAGTAGGGTGAGAAGTATGATACGGTAAGCAGTTTTAATTCCGGGGTAGAAAAATATCATATCATATCCATTCCCAGTTGACCACAAGACTGTATTGCTCATACCTTTAGTTTTTAATCTTCGTAAAGTAGTACAGTTATTTTCCTCATGTCATAGGACTTTTGCAATTAATATAATCAGTTTTACACCAGTTATGGGGGAGAAGATACTGCTAAGATGCTAAAGAATATAAACAGAGACTATTGAGAAGGAAAAGCAAGTGTTGTGTTAGGAATGCCGTACAGAAATATACACTTCAAAGTTAGAGGAGAAAAACAGCCTGCTTACAAATGGCTCTTCACTGTTTTCTTTATGTGGCTTCACATGTTCTTTTAGTTGGCATTGTCTTTTACCATCTCCCATCCAGGTGTCTTTTCCTTATATTTAACTTCAGCCCTGTTCTTGCAGTATTCCTACTCCCCAACCCTGCCCTACAGTGAGCAGTCTTTGTGCAGCTGTCTCTTGGCAGAGGATACTTTTTATGAAGCAGCATGGGTTTCTGTAGAGGAGAGTAGGGGATAAAGATAAGGATGGGAGCCGGGCACAGAGGCGCACCCTGTAATCCCAGCAGCTTGGAAGGCTGAGACAGGAGAATCATGAGTTCAAAGCCAAATCTCTTCAACTTCAAGGCACTAAGCAACTCCATGAGACCCTGTCTCTAAATAAAATATAAAATAGGGCTGGAGTTGTGGCACAGTGGTCAAGTACCCCTGGGTTTAATTCTTGGTATCAAAAAAAAAAAAAGATAATTGTTATGGGAATGAAAGGGCTGTTGAAAGATTAGAGGCCAGTGTGCCTGGGCCCAAGGACTGGGGTCATAATCATACTTTGTCTTTTACCAGTGCCTTTTGTCCAAGGCCCTGAAAGGGCTTAACAAAATTCTGGTCTGAATAACATTATTCTTTACTCTTTGAAATTTGCTAGAGGTGGCAGTAAGGCCCTGGGGTGCGGGTGGGAATGATCGTGCTATAGTGGCAAAAGGAAATAAGCTAGATAGCCTGGTTCCTAGTTAGAATTTTGCCAGAATGACAAGTCTGATGAAAGTTGTTGGTATTAGGTGAAAGTTTGCCATTGTTTAAAATGAACTGAGGTGGTTTAATGGAAATGCCCTTTTCTTTCCCACCTTTGTACATGGTGACTGTTAGTCCTAAAAGGGGGAAAATTTTAAGAGATTTTTCTTAGGAGTCTTAAGTGCTCTTGAGTTCAAGAATTAGAAGATGGGGCTGGGGATGTGGCTCAAGCGGTAGCGCCCTCGCCTGGCATGCGTGCAGCCCGGGTTTGATCCTCAGCACCACATACAAACAAACGTGTGTCCGCCGAAAACTAAGAAATAATAATTTTTAAAAAAAAAGTTACTTTAAAAAAAAAAGAATAAGAAGCTGTGAGTATCTATGTTTGTACTAAGCTTGAAACTAGGAGTCTTGAGTGAACATAAAGCCCAAGTTCAGTAATTAACAAGAGCTTGATTTATACTGTTTATTTCTGTATAAAATGATATTCAGAATCTGACTCACCTTTTCATGTTATGAAAATAAGAGTTTTACAGAGTTTGTGGATGCATATGAATATTGCTTAAAACAGAATACCCTTGTCTACAGGAAAGTGCTGAAGCTAGCTTTCTGTGTTGAGTTGAGGCTCTTTGCCTGCAGTACCCTGTCATTTGATTTGTGCCTGCTGTTTCAGGTTTTCGGTTCTTTCTTACCCATCTGGAAAAAAACTGCCAGTTATTCAGTGAATAAGGTAAAGAGATGGCAGTTGACTTCCCCAAATTTGTTCCTTTTTGGAGTAGACACAGGGGGAAAAAATCCTGACATGCTTTTCTGTAGCTGAGAAGCCCTGTTAAGCACACATAACAAAAATCATTTTTATAAAACTGACAAAGTCTATACATTGTTAAATTTCTTTGCCCCTTTTGTAGTCTTTCTGAGGTTAATTGTTTTCTAATTGTTTCATTTTCTTCCTCTCCCAAATCCAGGCTGGCTATAGCAAACATCATTCAAGATGTCCAGCAAAGGAAGCAGCACAGATGGCAAAACAGACTTAGCTAATGGTAAGGGGCCAAAATGAAGGTGAAGCTATTTTTACTATGAACTGAGGTCCTCCTCCCTGCAAGACATGGGAGGATTTTTGTGGGGGAAGAAACCCTTCTTGGGTTGTTTTCAGTATAGGGAAACATATTATCTGGTACTTTTTTTCCTTCAAATTTTTGTTTTCAGAAAATCAATAACATGTCAAGAGGTTTAGAATTCTGAAAGGCTGTACAGGTAGGCTGAACCTAGGAAATGCTATTAATGAAGGAGAAAAACAAGAGACCTAATTGATGATGGGAACAGGGGGATTTTGGGGAAAGATGAGGTTCTCCAGTTATATTGAGAGGTCTCTTTCCATGGTAAATAAGAGTTTCTTCATTAGAGGTATTAGATAAGAGATGAAGTTACCAGGCTGGGGATATAGCTCAGTGATAGAGTGCATGCTTAGCATGCGTAAAGCCCTGAGTTCAGTACCTGGTGCCAAAATAAAATTAAAAAATGAAGTTACAACCCTAACCAATGAGGATTGGGCCTGCCTTCCTTTTTTTTCCCTCCCCTCCTTTTTCACTAGGATTAGTTGAAAGGCACAGAGTTCCAGAGGGATTTAAGTTAAACTGTTGATTTGGAGCTTGGTCATTAGTTTAGATCAGGGATTGGCAAATTATAACCTACAAGCCAAAGCCACTCTGCCACTTATTTTTGTAAAAGTTTTATATCCATTCATTTATGTGGTGTCCATGGATTGTTTTTGTTCTAATGGGGTTGAATAGCTGCGAGAGTGCCATACAATCTGCAGATACTAACATTTTTGCTGTCTGGCCCTTTACAGAAGAAATTTGCCAACTCCTGAACTAGATCATGATCATTGACAGTTGTGGCCTTGTTGCTGAGTGTGTAATACAGTCTGGCCCTTGTATTAATGTGGTAGGACTTTCAGAGTCTGAATTTGTTAATATTAATAATTTCTAAGAGTTTTGGTGTTTTATTTTTCCTCTGCCCACATATTTGTTAGGTGTGGTGTTTTTAATCCCTTCTTAGCACTTCCCAGCTCAAGCTCCAATTGCATTTCGAACTATATCTCTTTAACTTTTGAAGGATTGGAGGGCAGTGGGAATTGAACCCAGGGGTTCTTTACCAATGAGGCACATGTCCAGCCCTTTTAATTTTTTTATTTTGAGACAGGGTCTTGCTCAGTTGTTTAGGGCCTTGCTGAGTTGCTGGAGCATATGTAACAGTCTCAGCAAATGTGGTTCTGTTATTTTTCCCTTTTCGCTCCAACTCCTATCCCAGTTGATTTTCACACTGTGCTCTCAGTTGAGGTGCTTCTATGTCACCCATCCTTCCATCAAAACAAAGCATTTGTATCGTTATGTGTTTTATGTACTGGATTTTGTCTAGAAGTTCCATTTCTTCAAGGGTCTTCACAAATTACTGCCCTAAGCCAGATGGCTAGTCAGTAAGGTGCTCCAGTTTTAAATCCCTAAACATCAATATTGGAATATTAAACATCATATTGGAGTCAAAGGCTGATCTGTCTTCCCCTAACAAGTTTTATGTCTGGCAAGATAAAATTTGTAGTCATCTGAGGAAATATTTCTTTTTTAGTTGTAGTTGGATACAATACCTTTATTTTATTCATTTATTTTTATGTGGTGCTGAGGATCAAACCCAGGGCCTTGCACGTGCTAGGCAAGCGCTCTATTGCTGAGCCATACTCCCAACCCTCTCAACAACTTTTTTTTTGTTTCAGGGGTACTGGGAATTAAACCCAGGGCCTCATGCATGTTAAGCAAACACTCTGCCACGGAGCTACATCCCTAGCCCTTTTTAAAGACATGTCTTACTAAGTTACCCAGACTAGCCTCCAATTTGGAATTCTTCTGCCTCCGTCTCCTAAGTCCCTAGGATTACAGGTGTGTGCCACTGTACCCAGTTGGAGATTTTCTTATGGACATTCTAATTATTTGCTGCAACTAATGGATGTCTATCCAACAGGACAGAGCCTAAGTGGTTGCATCAGGCACACTTTTGTATAATATGCCAATGCTTAGCCTCTCAAGAACTTATTATAGATTGTCCTGTAGTTCTTTGCTTTTATTGAAGTTCATTTATATGTGTGTTGCTTTGATCTTAATTTTTTCAATTTCTGTTCTTTATAAGATTTCCTTTCAGAAGTACTCTTTATAAGCATTTATAATGGAAACACTTTGACTGAAGTTTGTTTCTTAGTCTTTTGATGTAATGGTTTCTTACAGTGGGAAATCCCTCTGAAAACTAACTATGCTAATCCTGTTTCCTTATTTTTGCCTCTCACCTATTGATTCTTCATCAATGTGCAGGAAGCCTGTCTAGCAGTCCAGAGGAGATATCTGGAGCTGAAGAGGGAAGAGAGACATCCTCAGGCATTGAAGTAGAGGCCTCAGACCTGAGTTTAAGCTTGACTGGGGATGATGGTGGCCCCAATCACACCAGTACAGAAAGTCGAGGCACAGACACAGAAAGCTCAGGTGAAGAAAAGGACTCTGACAGCATGGAGGACACTGGCCATTACTCCATCAATGATGAAAACCGAGTTCGTGACCGCTCAGAGGAAGAGGAAGAGGAAGAAGAGGAGGAAGAACAACAACCTCGGCGCCGTGTACAACGCAAGCGAGCTAACCGTGACCAGGACTCATCAGACGATGAGCGGGCCTTGGAGGATTGGGTGTCCTCAGAGACAACAGCCCTGCCCCGACCTCGATGGCAGGCCCTCCCTGCCCTTCGGGAACGGGAGCTGGGTTCAAGTGCCCGCTTTGTGTATGAAGCCTGTGGGGCAAGAGTCTTTGTACAGAGGTTCCGCCTGCAGCATGGGCTTGAGGGCCATACTGGTTGTGTCAATACCCTGCACTTTAACCAGCGCGGCACCTGGCTGGCCAGTGGCAGCGATGACCTGAAGGTGGTAGTGTGGGATTGGGTACGGCGGCAGCCAGTACTGGACTTCGAGAGTGGCCACAAAAGTAATGTCTTTCAGGTGAGGCAAGGATTCATAATAGCAACTGAGAGAATCAGACATGAATCAGACAAATCTGAGTTGCTGCTTAGAGTGGAAGCTGAAAGTGAGTTTTGGTAGGAATTAGACATCAGGACTCTACATTGGTTCCCTTAATGACACTGAAGGCCCATGGTAACTTTTTATTTCCTTGCATGTAAGCATCAGAAGCTTCATTATAGGTTCTTGGAACTTATCAGGAAAATATTATAGATGCTATGGTAGAAGGTAATATAGTATTAAGAGCATAGGCTCTTGAACCAAACTGCCTAGATTCAAATTCTGGCCCTAACATGTAATAACTATGTGAAGCTGAGCAAGTTATTTAACTTGTAAGATGGAACTGAGAGGAGAAAGAATTATGAGGATTAAATAACAGTTGATAGGCTAGGAGTGTAGTTTGGTGGTAGAGTTCTTGGCTAGAATGTGTGAGGCTCTGGGTTCTAGCCCCAGCACTACCAAAAAAAAAAAAAAAAGTAGCAAAAACAATGGAAGCTAAGCACTTAGAACCATGGCTGATACTTAATAACATTTGCTAGAAACTAGCTAAGATTGTTATTATTCCTTGGAGATTTTACTCCTTTGCCCCGTCCTCCATATTAATATTAGCTCTTCATCCATAAATTTGTTCTTTTTCTTTTTCCCTGTATTTCATAATTTCCTTTTCCTTTGTGGCAAAATTCGTTTGCTTTCTGAATATTTCTTACTTTCTCTCCTATTAGGTACATTCACATTAGCTTTTTTTTTTTAGAGAGAGAGAGAATTTTAATATTTATTTTTTAGTTTTCGGCGGACTCAACATCTTTGTTTGTTTGTATGTGGTGCTGAGGATTGAACCCGGGCCGCACCCATGCCAGGCGAGCGCGCTACCGCTTGAGCCACATCCCTAGCCCCTCACATGAGCTTTTAATCATGTACTTCCTCACCCTTACAGAGTCAACTGAAATTTCCCTTTACATCAGAGGAAGTTTTTTCTATCACTTTTCTTTAACTCCTAGATGAAATTAGGTTTATTCAGCTGTATGAATAGAAAAGCACCAGGCACAGTGGTGCACGTCTGTAATCCCAGCCACTTGAAGCAAGATTGCCCAAGTTCAAGGCCAGCATGGGCAACTTAGTGAAACCCTCAGCAACTTAACAAGACCCTGTCTCAAAATTTTTTTAAAAAAGGGGGGTGGCGGGGTCTGAGATGCTTGCGTAGCATACACAAAGTCCTGGACTCAATCCCCAGCATTTCAAAAGAAAAAAAAAATGTTAAAAAAGGCTGGGAGCAAAATTTAGTGGTAAAGCACACCTGGCTTTAATCTCTAGTACCCCCCAAAAAACAAGAGTAGGAAAGCTACATCTAGCTTTCATGCAAGAAAAAAGTGTCAACTTGGGTCATCATCTCATTTTTTTACTCTTACATTCGTCTTTTCAAATTTCTTATGTATCTTTTTTTTTTTTTAATTCTTAATATTCCAGGCCAAATTCCTTCCCAATAGTGGTGATTCCACCCTGGCGATGTGTGCCCGGGATGGGCAGGTTCGGGTAGCAGAACTGTCTGCCACACAGTGCTGCAAGAATACAAAGCGTGTGGCCCAGCACAAGGGAGCATCCCATAAGGTAAGAAGGTCCTTACTCCAAAGTTTGTGAGTGTAAGCTAGATATGGTAGCACATGCCTGTGATTCCAGCTACTTGGGAACCTGAGGCAAGAGGATCGCAAGTTCAAGTCCAACCTAGTCAACTTAGCAAGACCCTTTTTCAAAATAAAAAGGGTTATCAATGCAACTTGGTGATAGGGCACCCTGGGTTAACTCCCCAGAACTGCACAGAATAGTGAAAAAAAAAAAAAAAAGTTTGTGAGTCCAAATCCTTTATGGATATCAGCCATTATCACCCTTTTCTCTACCCATTGTGTTCCTTTTGTTATGGTCATCTGCCTCACCTTTTTCAGTGCTAAGATTGGTTAAGAAGGGAGCAAAAAACCCAACCCAAGCAAAGTATAAAGTATATCATTGGTCAGATCACATACTTATAGCATTCCGTTGATTATATCTGGCTCCTAAGCTGAGCTGTGGTTGGTTTGGAGATCCTTGAGATCTCATGCTTTCCAAACCCCTTAAGGTTATTCTGATTGTTTTTAGAACATTTCTAACAGTCCCAGAGTGCTAGTAGTTGGTTCCTCAAATGTTAGAGCTCCAGCTTCTCTGCTTACAACTCAAACTCACAAGTTGCACTATTTCTGGAAGCCACATTTAGAGCTGTGAATATAGGCCAAATGGTCACGGTGGTAGCTAGTAAGGAACTAAGAGCTGTCCAGTTTCAGGGTAGGTATTATGTTTTTCCATGTCATCAAAAGAGGATGGTTTAAAAAAAAAAAAAAAAAAAAAGATTGTACTCTCTTCTTTCAAACCCTTTTCCAATTCAGATGCTTCAGGAAACTTGAAAATCACCTATTTCCTAAACCTTTCCCCGACCCACTAGATAACTACTTTTTAGAAGTAGGATGTAGGGAATGAAGCTTGGAAAAAGAAGAGAACTTGATTGCCATGTTTCTCCATATCTGAAGGCATAGAATTGATTTTGTTTTAAAATATTTTTTTAGTTATAGATGGCAATACCTTTATTTATTTACTTTTACGTGGTGCTGAGGATTGAACCCAGTACCTCACATGTGCTAGGCAAGTGCTCTACCACTGAGCTACAACCCCAGCCCATGAAATTGATTTTTGAGAATGAACTTTTCTTGACTGATATTCTCCTTTGGTATCTCTATTTTGATCCTTTGGGACTTAGTTAAAATTGCAAATCATCTGTCTTTTTTGAGTTGTATAGAATAAGCAGACTGTGAATAGTTCACAGAATAAGAGTGAGTGGGGGGCTGGGGTTGAGGGCTCAGCAGTAGAGTGCTTGCCTAGCACATTCAAGGCCCTGGGTTCGATCATCAGTACCACATAAAAAATAAAAGTATTGTGTCCAACTAAAAAATAAATATTAAAAAAAAAAAAGAGTGGGGCTTAAGTTATCTCCCTTCCTAGGATTTTACAACAACGGAAAAGGCAGACATTTCTCTTGCTGAGACATTTTATATGCAGCTCTTCCTAAAAGTAAAGGAGTGGGAACTAGCCTGACTATAACTCTGAGCTTTAGAAACCTTATCCCTTTTCCTTTGTCTCCTTCAGTTGGCCCTGGAACCAGACTCTCCCTGTACGTTCCTGTCTGCAGGTGAAGATGCAGTTGTCTTCACTATTGACCTGAGACAAGATCGGCCAGCTTCGTGAGTATAGCAATAATATCTATAAAATTCCATTCCTTGGCCTTGAAAATATTTCTTTTTTTTTTTTTCTTTTTCTTTTTTAAAAAATATTTTTAGTTGTAGATGGACACAATGCTTTTATTTAATTTATTTATATGTGGTGCTTAGGATCGAACCCAGTGTCTCACACATGCTAGACAGGCGCTCTACCACTGAGCCATAGGCCCAGCCTGGACTTGAAAATATTTCATGTGTCCCAATAATGCTCAGCTCTCAGGTCCATCAGAATAGTACCTTTGTGTCTATGGTAAGAGATAGTTTAAGGTTTAGAATTCCTTACTTTTTAGCCCTGTTTCTCAGCAGTTTGCTTTCATTTCTCAGATGCTGTTTTTTATATGTGGGCTTTAATAACTTGAACTCACCCTTTCCAGCCACTTAGGTGCCATTCATCTTATTTATAAGAAGCATTACATATTAGTTTAGAGAGACAGGATCATATAAATTTTCAGTTCAGTTTATATTATATACAATCATAAGATAGACCTTGAAAAATATATTGGTAGCTATAGTAGAGTTCTGACATACCACAGCTCATTTGTACATGAATTTGAGACACATAATTTACGTATAAATTATTTTAATTCTGATACCATAGAAAAAAAACACAGCATCTTGTTTGGATATAGGTAGACCTGTCCTAGTTCAAATCTTAACTCAGGTCCTATTAGTTATGACCTATGTAATATTTTGAATCTCAGTTTCTTTGTTTTTACAAATATAATAATATCTACCCTGACTTAATAAACAGATACATTTTAAGAGATTCATAGACAAAATATTAATGCTTCTTGTGTATCCCCCATTTGTGCAAGCGTGCTACCGCTGAGCCACGTCATATATATTAACACACACACACACACACACACACACACATATACATACATATATATTCCACAAGCCCCAACTTGTTAGTAATTTTGAAAACATTTCCAGACCCTTTTGTATATATTTGTGTACCTAGGTATATACATATCTAGGTACACAAATATATACTGTCCTCCATAAATGGGCTAATTATATGTATGCATACATGTATACTTTTGCAATTTGCTTTTTTAATATTATAATGTATTTTGGAGGTCTGTGTCAGGCTATAAAAACCTACCTAATTTTAAGTTTTATTTATTTTTGGGTGTGGTACTAGGAACTTCAGCACTGAGCTATATCCATAGTACTTTCATTTTTTATTTTGAGACAGGGTCTTGCTGAATCCATAAGGGTTTCACTAAATTGCTGTGGGTGGCCTTGAACTTGCAATCCTCCTGCTTCAGTCTCCTGAGCAAAAGCCTATTTAATTTCTTTTTTTAAGAGCTTTATAGTTACACATAGTAGTTGGGTTCATCCTGACACACTCATACATCCATGGAAATTGATTTTAGTTCATGATTTCCCCCTTTTCCCTCCCCTCCTCCTTTACCTTTCCCACTCTTTTTCCTCTACCAGACTCCTTTCACTCATCTATTAATTTCTGTTTGATTGGTTCTTTGTTATCTTATTCTTCCTTCCCCCTTTTCTTTTTTTTTACTCTAATATCCACATATAAGAGAAAATATTCAACCTTTGAGATTCTGAGTTTGGCTTACTTCACTTAGCATGATATTTTCCATTTCCATCCATTTACTGACAAATGCCCTAACTTGTTTTTTCTTTTCTTCTTTTTTTTTTTTTTTTGTAGTAGGGATTGAACGTAGGAGCACTGAATCACTGAGCCACATTCATTCCTAGCCCTTTTTTTTTTTTTTTTTTTTAATTTTGAGATGGGACTTTGCCAAGTTGCTTAGGGCCTTGCTAAATTGCTGAGGCTGGCTTTGAACTTGGGATCCTCCTGCCTCTGCCTTCCAAGCCACTGGGAATACAGGTGTGTGCCACCATGCCCAGCAGTTTCGTTATTTTTTATGGCTGAGTAGAGCTCCATCACACACACACACACACATACATACATACATATACACCATAATTTCTTAATCCACTCATCTTTTGACAGGCATCTGGGTTGATTCTATAATTTAACAATTGTGAATTGTACTGCTGTATACATTGAGGTGGCTGTATTGCTGTAGTGTGCTAATTTTAGATCTTTTGGAAAAATACCAAGGAGTGGGATAGCTGGGTCACATGGTGGTTCCATCCCTAGATTTTTGAGGAATCTCTATACTTCAGCCTACCTAATTTTTAAACATGGCATATGTGTCATAACATTGGTACACCACTGTTTACTTAATCACTGCCTTGTTGATTGATACCTAGATTATTTATTGTCTTTTTTAGATTTAAAAATTATAACAAATTTCATAGTTCAGTACCAATATTAGGAAAGGGATGTCAATGTTTTTATTTTTAAAGAGATATCTTGAAAAAGTTGTCTGGAAGATAGAATTTCAACAGCTGCTTAAATGACGGAAATGTTTCAGGCTTAGGAAAAGGATATGCTGGTTATTCATATACCCTTAAGAAGACGAAGTTTGGGAAATGGTGCTGGGTATATAGTGAAAGGGGAGCTGTGTGGTGACACAGGCCTATAATCCCAGTGACTCAGGAGGCTGAGGTACAAGGCCAACCTCATCAACTTAGTGAGACCCCCGTCTCAAAATAAACAAAAAGTGCTGGGGGTGTAGCTCAGTAGTAAAGTACCCTGGGTTTAATCTCCAGTATCCCATGCCGCCACCACCACCACCACCCCTCCCCCGCAAAAAAAAAAAAAATACACAGAGTGGAAGGGAATAAGCCTGAGTGTCAAGGGCTTTGCCCTCTAGTACAGATGATCCCCAACTTATGATGGTTTGGCTTAATGATTTTTCAATGTTATGATGGTGTGAAAATGATATTGATTCAGTAGAAACTACACTTTAAAACTTGAGATTTTGATCTTTTCCTTTTTTTTTCTTTCAACAAATAATGTATTTGAATACATTTGAATATATAGATATACAGATCCAAATAGATATGCATGTATATATACATATATACACACACACACACACACACACAAATATCCATTTTTACGCATTTGGTAAAAAATTAAGCTACAGCCCCCTTTTTAAAAAGAGAGAGAGAGAATTTTTAAAATATTTATTGTTATTTTTGGTGGACACAACATCTTTATTTTATTTTTATGTGGTTCTGAGGATCGAACCCAGCATCCCGTGCATGCCAGGTGAGCGCGTTACCGTTTGAGCCACATCCCCAGCCCCTACAGCACCCTTTTTATACCTAATCATATAACTTGTAAGCCAATCCCTATTCATACATCTAGAACTTTTTCTTATTGGTTTCTTAATATTTGATAGTATGGCTAGTGGTTAGGTATGTAAATAATTTTCCATCTTACTCTATTACAAATAATGCTGCAGTAAATACCTGTGTAACATACTCCTTTATGCACTTTATGAATAGCAGTAGGGACATTCCTATAAGTAGAAGTGATAGACGGATCAAAGAGTATATTATTTTGTTAAATGCATTTTCAATTTATCGTGGATTTTTTAGGCTATAACTCCACTGTAAATTCAGGAGCACCTGTAGTAGTTTTGTAGTTATCTAACTTTGAGAAGAACATTTAATCTCTTGAATATTTGTTGTTGCCAGTTCTAAGGTTGTCATTTTTTGATGACAATGAGACAGTAGCAGGTTTTCCACAGGAAAAGGTAAGGGTACAGATATAAAAAAAAAAAAAATGATAATAAATTTATTTGATCTACTTTTTTTTTTTTTTTTTTTTTTTTGAAGAATAATGAGATTTTATCCTGTAGATCAGGTTCAGAGGGAAACTACTATTCAGCCACAGGAATGGTTGAAATAATGGCTAGTGTAAATGAATTTGGCAGATTATTGAATTTGAAATAAAATGATATAGGCTGAAAATCTGGCTGAGAGCACAAACAATGGTAGGCAGCATGGAAAGTAAAGAGGGAAAATTGGAAAAACTTTTTTCCCCCCTCCTTGGTCCTAGGGATTAAACCCAGGGTTATTTTACCACTGAGCTACATCTCCAGTCCTTTTTATTTTATTTTATTTTAATATTTATTCTTAAGTTTTAGGTGGACACAATATCTTCATTTTACATTTATGTGGTGCTGCCTCATGCATGCTAGACGAGCACTCTACCACTGAGCCACAACCCCAGCTCCTTTTTTATTTTTTGAGACAGGAAATTACTGAATTGCTGAGGGTCTCACTAAGTTTCTGAGGCTGGCTTCAAATTTGCAGTCCTCCTGCCTTAGCCTCCTGAGTCACTGGGATTACAGGCGCATGCTACGTCCTGGTACATTGGAGAAACTGGATTAGAAGGAGGCCCAGATTCTAGATTGGAGGCATAAGAGTATTTTAAACGTTTTTGCTTTAGGAGTTAAAGAAGTAGTTTTACAGGCTGGAATGAGGTGGAAGGCTGAATTGTGAAGGTCTCAGTCAAAAAATTCAAGCTGTTTTCATGTGTTCAGCTAGTACCTAAACACTTGCTTATATCATGCATTTTTTGTGTGTGTGAAGTTGGCATGGGGGATTTTTTGTATATAATTTTTTTGTACACTTTCTTTTAATGGAAAACTACAGAGATTTTAAAATCACAATCTCTCTACTTTGCCTAGAGCTGAACTGACTTTGACTATGTAGAGAGGATGCTAAAATTGTTTCTTTACAAAGAAACTCATTGTCATGGTTATATTTTTTCCTGTTTCCATAGCATCAAAAATGAAGTAAACCCCTTAAAATAAAAAACAAAAGCTAAAGCTAAGCCCCTTTCTGTAGTTTCTTGATGTCTTACTTGTAAATTTATTAATCTCCATGGTGTCAGATTTGACTGGACACTTAGATATGGGAAGAGTATTCATATTGCCACCTTTAGGCTGGGATAAATTGTAGTTGTTAAGCCAGATTCTCCTCACTAAGCTTCTGAACTTTCTGTGGTTTCCCCGAGGCTCTTTGCCCTCCTATCACTCACCTGTCTTGTGTTACAACCAGGATAATTTGAAAGTGTTTTCTCAGCCTTACAAAGAGCTATCTTCATAAGAATGTTCTCTTCTGCTTTCTTTTGGCATACCTCTAGGTTAGAAAACTATAGCTTTTTTTAAGTATGTGTTTTTTTGTTGTTGTTGTTTTTGTTTTTTAATGCTGAGGATTGAACCCAGGGCTTCACACATGAGTATTCCTACCACTGAGTTCTACATTCCCAGCTTTTTGATTTTTATTTTGAGACAGTGTCTTGCTAAGCCCTGACTGGCCTTGGACTTACCATCCTCCTGCCTCAGCCTCCCAAGTATTTGGGATTACAGGCATGTGCCGTTGTACCCAGCTCTGTGTGTGTGTGTGTTTTTAGATGTTGATGGACCTTTATTTTATTCAAACCCAGTGCTTCACACATGCTAGTCAAGCTCTCTACCACTGAGCCACAACCCTAGCCCCTTAGTATATATTTTTAAAAGCTAGGGGTTTTTTTGGAGGGGGGAGAGGCAGGTACCAGGAATTGAATTCAGGGGCACTTGATCATTGAGCCACATCCCCAGCCCTATCCTGTATTTTATTTAGAGACAGGGTCTCACTTCTGCTGAGGCTGGCTTTGAACTCAAGGTCCTCCTGCCTCAGCCTCCCGAGCCACTGAGATTACATGTGTGCACCACTGTGCTTGGCTTTAAAGCTAGGTTTTAAGTGGCATTTTTCCAAAATCTGGGAGACACACTCTGACCTAAAGTTATTTTTTAACCCAGTGGTTCTGTAAATTTTTCTCCACTCCTCTCCAGGTGATTGGGAAGATATACAGTATTTACAAATAGAGGAGGGAACTGTATGGGTAACATCTCTTTAATGACTGGTTGTTATTGTGTTGGATTTCCTGAAGAGCATATACCTTTAACTTACATTTCTTAAGCAACACAAGAAAAAATTTTACTGAATATTTTTCCCATCTTCAAAGTAGCATGTAGTGAATATTTGTGCTTTTTCATTTTTCATTGTCTAAGACAAACAAAAATAATTTTTCTTTCCAGATGAGAATATTTTCGTTTTCTTATTAGCCATGCCTCTATTGCCGTCTTGGCTCTCATTTGTTATGACCATCTAGATCTTATGGAGACTAAAGTGTTGTGTATTTTTCTACTCTTCCAGGAAACTGGTGGTGACAAAAGAGAAAGAGAAGAAAGTGGGGCTATATACAATCTATGTGAATCCTGCCAATACCCACCAGTTTGCAGTAGGTGGACGAGATCAATTTGTAAGGTGAGTCTATTGCTTTTCTGTGTTTTTGAGAGTTTGAGACTCTGGCACATTGTCTTTTTTTTTTTTAATTTTTATCGTTGGTTGTTCAAAACATTACATAGTTCTTGACATATCATATTTCACACTTTTATTCAAGTGGGTTATGAACTCCCATTTTTACCCCGTATACAGATTGCAGAATCACATCGGTTACACATCCACTGATTTACATATTGCCATACTAGTGTCTGTTGTATTCTGCTGCCTTTCCTATCCTCTACTATCCCCCCTTCCCTCCCATCTTCTCTCTCTACCCCATCTACTGTAATTCATTTCTCCCCCTTGTTTTTTTTTTTTTCCCCTTTCCCCTCACTTCTTCTTGTATGTAATTTTGTATAACCCTGAGGGTCTCCTTCCCTTTCCATGCAATTTCCCTTCTCTCTCCCTTTCCCTCCCACCTCTCATCCCTGTTTAATGTTAATCTTCTTCTCATGCTCTTCCTCCCTACTCAGTTCTTAGTTACTCTCCTTATATCAAAGAAGACATTTGGCATTTGTTTTTTAGGGATTGGCTAGCTTCACTTAGCATAATCTGCTCTAATGCCATCCATTTTCCTGCAGATTCTATGATTTTGTCATTTTTTAATGCAGAGTAATACTCCATTGTGTATAAATGCCAATCAATTTGTAAGGTGAGTCTGTTGCTTTTCTGTGTTTTTGAGAGTTTGAGACTCTGGCACATTGTCTTTAAAAAAAAAAAAAATCTGTAGGATTTATTGCAGGTTTTTAAAAATAAAAGGAGAGACCATTCTTAGTGTTCAAATTTGTGAACCTATTGCCATGTATTCCAGAATGGTGAAGTGTGAAATGCCTAGAAGTTCATTTACCACCATTTTTAATTTTTATCCTCTTCCAGAATGCTTAAGCACCTTCTGAGCTGTTCTGTTCCTTAATGTAAACAGTCTCTGAGAGATGGCTTTTCCTGTTATATAGATGACTTTGCATGTTTTAAAGAAACCTGATTAATTGATCAAGTTCTTCACTAGTAGCTAAGACCTAATTTCCAGCAGGTGCTGTCTTAGTGAATTTTCTACCATTTTCTTTTTCCTTTTTTGGTACTGGGTATTGAACCCAGGAGTATTTTACCACTGAACTTCATCTCTAGCCTTTTTTTTTTTTTTTTTTTTTTTTTTTGAGACAGAGTCTTTTGTTGTTATTGTTTTAATTTTTCCACATTTTTTTATTGATGCATTATAAGTGTGCATAATGATGGGATTTGTTGTTGCATATTTGTGCATGTGCATAATATAACCATATAATTTGGCCAATATCACTCCCCAACACTCCCTGCTTCTCATCCCTGATGTCTTTCCTTTACTGATGTCCCTCTCATTATCATGAGATCCACCACCATCTTTCTTTTTTTCTTTATCCTCTCTAGTTTCTGCATATGAGAGAAAACATACAACCCTTGACCTTCTGAGTTTGATTTATTTTGCTCAACATAATGGTCTCTATTCCATCTATTCTCCTGCAAGTGACATGATTTCATTTTTCTTTATGGCTGAATAAAACTCCATTGTGTATATATACCATTCATTAGCTGATAGAGACCTAGGCTGGTTCCATAGTTTGACTGATATGAAATGTGCTACTAAACCTGGGTATGCATGCATCACTGTAGAATGATGACTTTAATTCTTTAAGATAAATACCAAGGAGTGGTTTAACTGGGTCATATGGTAGTTCATGATTAATTTTTTGAGGAACCTCCATATTGATTTCAATCATGGTTGTATTAATTTGCAGTTCCTCCAACAGTACAAAAGTGTTCCTTTTTTTCCACCTCCTCCCCAACACTTATTATTTGTATTCTTGATGACAGCCATTCTGACTGGTGTGAGAAAAAATCTCAGTGTAGTTTTGATTTGAACTTGTGTAATTGCTAATGATGTTGAACATCTGTTCATGTATTACACGGTCCTTTGTATTCCCCCCCCCCTCCCCGTACTAGGAATTGAACCACTGAGCTACATCACCAACCCTTTTTATATTTTATCCTGAGACAAAGTCTCGGTGAGTAGCTGAGACTGGCTTTGAACTGAGACAGGTTTCTGAGGCCTTCATACTTGCAATCTCCCACCTCAGCCTCCCAAGTTGCTGGGATTATAGGCAAGAGCCACTGTGCCCTATTTCTTCCATTTTCATAAATAAATTGCCATTGCACTTGCAATTTTGTATATTGGTTTGGGATTTAGAAACAATTTGACTTGAAAACCCTAGATGTGAACTGAGGGGTTTTGGCTCCTACTATCCTGAGCCATTTTCTTTATCTGTAGTGATAATCTTTGTTCCTATGAGCATTTGTTGAAACCCTGACTATTGAGGCAATATTCTAAGGAAAGCAGGCATCATAGGTTCAACCTCTAGTTAGTTTCCTTCTGATCTTTAGTAGGAAACTGTACCCATCCCTCTCCAGTTTTTATTTTAACTATATTTATTTGAGATTGTCAGTTTGAAAAAGAGAAGAGGCAGTATCACTATAAAAATGAATTACTTTGCTTTCTTCTTCTTCTTTTTTTTTTTTTTAATTTGTACCAGGGATTGAACCAGCACTTAACCACTGAGCAATATTCCCAGCCCTTTTTATATTTTATTTTGAGACAGGGTCTCACCAAGTTTCTTAGAGCCTCAGCAATTTAGGAAGACCCTGTCTCAAAAATAAAAAATAAAAGGCCCTGGGGATGTAGTTCAGTGGTGGTAAAATGCCCCTGGGTTCAATTCCCAGTACAAAAAAAACACAAAACAAAAGTTTGCCAACCCTTGTCTAGCATCATCATATGTAGGATATAGTAGGTTCTTAATAAATGGAGAAAGGGAAGAAAATTCCTATAAAGTAGAAGGCCAAAAAGCATTACATACTGAGGAACACAGAATTCTACCATATTATCAAAAGGCATCCCATGAAGCTTGAGTATTTCAATTTTTTTTTATTAATTTGCTGACTTGTTGAATCTTATAATGGCTTAGTGATATTTGAGAGCTGTTGATTTAAACTTAGTTAAGAGAAAAACAAATTTGATTAACAGCTGATAAATCTGCTGAAAGAGTTGTAATTGATAGTGTAACCATCCCCCTGCCACCCACCTGGCTTTGTTATTGTTCATTTATCAAGCATTTCCTGGGTAATTCTCTTTCTCCTTCCATTTCTCTCCTTCCTTCCTCCACTGCCCATTCCCCACCCCCGCCTTTTTTGTGTGTGTGTGGTACTTGGAGTTGAGCAGGCCCTTGCACATGCTAGGCAACCCCTCTACCACTGAGCTTCATCCAGAGCCCTTTTTATTTTGATACTTTGAGACAGGACCTCTTTAAGTTGCCCAGGCTAGCTTCAAACTTCCTATCCTCCTGTCTCAGCCTCCCAAATAATTATGTGGCTATTGTGTAGAATATTGAAGCAGTGGTAGGCACCCATACTAAGGAGTTTGAACTTTATTCAGTTGGTTGTACAAAATCACTGAGGAGATACAATCAGGGAATTTACATAAAATTTAGCGTTTTACACATAATTCTGATGACAGTTCAAGCAGGGAAATTAGAAGGAAATGCTATTATCTAGGCAAAATATGATAAGTGGTGAAGAAAGCAAATATTGTCTAAAAACAATTTTACAGGGAGTAAAATTGACAAGACAGGAATTGCTATGTAGGAGAGAAGGTACCTGATTTCTTGCTTGATCACTCCCATTTATGATAGTTCCATTATCAAAGATTCAGGGGAAAGGGATAGGTTTAGAATGAGTTTACTTTTGGGGAACCTATTATAACATCCATTTGTTAAGTAGATGTATGTCTGGAGCTCATATTAAGTATGATTTAAGGCATTTATCCATATTTAGGAAGTAGTGCTTAAAGCATCAGTAAAGAAAAATACGCATAAGCAGTTTCTGGAGGTTTACATATTCTTTGGACTCCAGGTTAAAAAAATTTCTTGGTATAAATAGTCAGATGAGAATTTAACACCAAGCCCCGGGGGAACATCAGCATTTAAGGGATAAACAAAGACAAACTCATGGACCGTACTGAGGAATGATTGGCCATCAAGGAAGGATGATGTTTCAAGGAAGCAGTGATGAACAATGTCAGACCAAGAGAGAAAGCTTTGAAAAGTATCTCCTTAGCTTTGGCAGTTAGGTTATTAAAGATTTCAGCCTAAGAAGTTTAGTGGTAAATTGAGGGTAAAAGCCATATTGGAATGGGTTGAGAAGTGAACAAAAAGTAAGGAAGTGAAAACATTGAATTTATATTGTTCTTTTGAGTAATTTGCAGAAGGAAAGAGAGAGAAAGCAACAGTAGAAAAGAAATGTTTGACAGTGATGAAAGAAGAGATTGAAAAATGGAACTAATTAGTCAAATGAGTTCCCTGGGGATGATGAGATTAAGAGCATCTTTGGAGATTAGAGAAGACTGCTGAATCAGGATAAAGACTGGATCTGCCTTCTCTTTCCTCAACGCATTTTCACACTTAGCACAATACTTGAAACATTTGTGCCATAAATATTTATGAAGCTTGAATTGGAGAGAGTAGGAATGATGAAGGTAGTTTGCTTGATGGCAATAAAGGAAGGAGAAAAGGTCTTGAGGAAAATTGTGGTTTTCTAATAGTTGTTGTGGGGTATCAGAGGGAGAACTGGCCAAATAAAAAAGAATCAGAGACCCATTCACTTACAAACAGCATGATCTCTCTCCAGGAGTAATAAATTCTTTGGGATAGGTAATATACATTTTAAAAGCTCTGTGATGTTAGTTGTTTCAGTGGAATAAGCTGAAAGTGATATAAAAGTTGAAACTGGTAGAATTGAGCAAAGTACCAGCATGAACGAGTTAGGGTTTGAAAATGGATTGAGGAATGGAGGATCTTTATAAAAGAGCATGAACTGGAAGTTTGATGGGGAAAATATCCTTTATCTTCATCCATTTGCTTTCTGCCACTAATTGCAGCTCTTTGAGGAATCATCTTGTAAGTTTTGACATTTCTATTGCTTCTTCCATTACAGGATTTATGACCAGAGGAAAATTGATGAGAACGAGAACAATGGTGTACTCAAGAAATTCTGTCCTCATCACCTGGTAAGATTCATGAAGGGCCAGTGACTCCTGGCTTCCCTGACTTGATCCCAAGTCGGCCTTTGAATTTGTTGGTATAGTGGGAAAAGCAGAGCTTGCATTTTCAAGTCATGCACCTGGATTTGAATCTTGGCTTCCCAACTTACCAGCTTTGTGATCTTGGGCAGTCAGTTCACCTCTGTTAGCCTATTTTCTCATCAAGAATGTAGAGAGAACAGTAACAGCCTTGGACCATCATGGTGAGGCCTAATGAAACCATGTATATGAAATAAATGGCTAGCAGAGAGAAGACAACAAGGCCCTAAGATTTTCGCCTTTGAGGTGGTCATGTTTCATTAGTTGTACTCCTATCTGTCTCTCTGTTTTTCTCTCATTCTCTGGGAGAAGATATAGGGGAGTTTGAAGGAAAACCTGTTCCTGAAGATGGTATGCCAAATGGGGGGGTGGGGCGTCAGTCAGTATCTGCTCCTTATTGCAGGTGAACAGTGAGTCCAAAGCAAACATCACCTGTCTTGTGTACAGCCACGACGGCACAGGTACGTGAGCAGGGCCCAGCTCCTAGGCTGGCATGCCTCCTCTGTCTAGAGAGCTGCTGAGCCAGTGAGGCACGTGCCCTCCAGTGCTCACCACTGTGCTATAGCTCCAAGTGGAGCATCTGGGGAGTAGTTGCTGATGGTGAGCACATAGTGGGAGGATGCAGCAGTGTCCCTTGGAGATGCCAGGCACCATTTGCAGAATGCTGCAGATGATATTTGGCAGGGCCTGTCCTGAAGCCCAGGCTACTTGGCCTGAGCAGGTTCTTATGCCTTTTCTTATCCTGTGTGAATGGATGTGATCTTCCTGAGATCTTCCTCTGCTACCCCTGGGTTGGCAGTGTGTTCCTAGTCTGCCCTTACAACTTCACTTGCCTGCTGTTCCAACTGAGTAAGATGGGTGTTACACCTGGGTATTAGGAGGGGGCACTACTGGCAAGAAGCCCCATCCCAACCCCCAACTCCTGATTCCTGCATTTTTCAGCCTTTGCCTTCACTGCTGTGTTCTTGTTCTTGGCAGAGCTCCTGGCCAGTTATAATGATGAAGACATTTACCTCTTCAACTCCTCTCACAGTGATGGGGCCCAGTATGTTAAGAGATATAAGGGCCACAGAAATAATGCCACAGGTGAGACTGTTTTTCTAGGTTTCTGTGGCCAAATCCTATTGGCTTGGAGAACCGTAGTATTTTATTCAGCTTGTACATATGAAGTTACCTAAGGGATAGGCTTCTGTGTTCCTTGGGCAGTGAGAGTTGATCCCATTGGGCTGGCATTTTCATGTTTTCTCCACTTTGCTTGAGAGCATCTTCACTGCAGTAATGTTGCTTCTAATTGGTTTGAACATAAGACTTTACTAATTTTTTTTCTTTTTTCTCTGTATTTTAGGTAAATTTTTAGGCAAATTCCAAATGGGTACAAGAGCTTATTAAGGAATCAGGGAAAACCTGCTTTAGTCAGTGATGCTGAATTACTTAAAATGGGTCATAAGCTTGTACCACTAGGGAGGGAAGAGGTTTGTTTGGTTTTTTTTGTTTGTTTGTTTGGTTTTTTTTGTTTGTTTGTTTGGTTTTTTTTTTTGAGTGAGGCGGAGGAGGAGTTTTGATAGTATCTAGTTTAAATTTGCAGTGAAGATTGACCTTTTTTTATTCAGTGTCTGTGGTTTCCATACTTTGGGGCAAATTAGAGTCACCTGATAGTCATATTTTATAAGTACCAATGCCTGGTGCCCACTCCCATATGTTCTGATTTCATTGGTGTAGGGTGCAACTTGAGTGCTGGTACTTTTGTAAAGTTCCCATTCTAATGTACAGAAAAGTTGGGGAATCACTGACTTTTGTTGTTACCACTCCTAACAGTCCTGTCATAATTTGACTTGGAGGCAGGAGTTACATTTACTTTTTCTTTGAGCTGATGAGAAGGGAAGGAAAAATCTGTACTTGGATCTCAGCCCACGGGAAGAATAACAGCATCATGGCCAGTATGGATGGCTTTAGTAGTTGGGACTCCTGGCTGCTTTTGCTAATTTTAGAGAGTGGAGCCCTGTTATTCAGAGTCCTGGTAGAAAGCATAATTCAAATGAGTTAGGCGATTGTGGCATATACTTTCATCAGTCTCAGATCAGTCAGTGACCCAAGAAGCACTGACAAATTACCAATGAAATATATAGTAAAGATAATCCTAGAACATTGGTGAATGCTGCCTGGCAATAGGCAGAGTTAGTACATGTAGGTTCAGATGGGTAAGGTCATTAGTGAGACCTGATAGAGTATAAATGAGGCAGGCTATTGCTAAGCAACTGGAGACTCCTCTGTCCTGTAGAGCTCGTTGAGAGAATATAAGGAGTCTCTGGGACTGGTGTGATTCTTATAATTATCTGTTATACATGCATAATCTTTTGGTTTGATTTGTAAAGATGAAAGGAATTATTTGGCTTGCAGCTAATTTGGAGTTTGTGAATATTTAGTTATTTTTCCCTGTGAGAAATATATATAGGCCTGATGCCAATCCTCATGTGGTTTATTCCCTCATTTATTTCAGTAAAAGGCGTCAATTTCTATGGCCCCAAGAGTGAATTTGTGGTGAGCGGTAGTGACTGCGGGCACATCTTCCTCTGGGAAAAATCATCCTGCCAGATCATTCAGTTCATGGAGGGGGACAAGGGAGGTGTGGTAAGTATGGTATGCTGAGCCGACTGGCTCCATAGTATTTCAGGTCAATAAGGTAGGTTTTAGTAGGGACCCTGAATGTTCACTGTGGCTACCTAATATCATGTCTTAGAGGTCCAGCCAACTACATTTAATTAAAAGGCAGCATAGTCTGAGGATGCTGAGAGGTATTGTGTTGTGTTTTGTTTTTGTTTGGTTTTGGTTTCAGTTTTGTTTGTTTGATTGCTGGGTTCAGTCCCCAGCACTACTTTACAACTGAGTCGCCTCTCCACCCTATTTATTTATTTATTTATTTACTTACTTACTTATTTATTTTTGGTGCTGGGGTTTTAACCCAGAGGCACTTTGCCACTGAGCCACATCCCCAGCCCTTGTTTTTGAGACAGGATCTCACTAAGTTGCTCAAACTGGCCTCAAACTTGAGATCCTCCCGTCTCAGCCTCTCAAGTCACTTGGATTATAGGCGTGTACCACCTTGCCCAACTTTGGTTTTTTTTTGTTTTTTTTTATAAAGAGGGAGGGGGAGAGAGAGAGAGAGAGAGAGAGAGAGAATTTTTAATATTTATTTTTTTAGTTATTGGCGGACACAACATCTTTGTTTGTATGTGGTGCTGAGGATCGAACCCGGGCCGCACACATGCCAGGCAAGCACACCACCACTTGAGCCACATCCCCAGCCCCCCAACTTTGTTTTTGAGACAAGGCCTTGCTAAGTTGTTGAGGCTTGCCAAAGACTTGCAATCCTACTGTCTCTCATTTCCCAAGTGGCTCCAATTTCAGGTGTGCACCAACATACTCAGCTTAAGCACACCTTTTCCAGAAGAGTGACCATTAGAGTTCAGGGCACATCATATACACTGTTAAAGATGCCTCCAGGTTTCATCCTCTATCCTAGATCAGATAAAAGTGCAAAGGAACATTTTTTGAGTAGTTGGGAAAATAAGTATATGGTTTATATATTAAGTAACATGGTATCCAACATTAGATTTATATCATCTGGTAATATTTATGTAGAAAAATATCTTTACACTTAGTCGACACATGTTGAAATATTTAAGGTTGAAATGTCACGCCTACTTTCAAATGGATGTGTACATGTATAGGGAGAAAGCAAATGTGGCAAAATATGTTTTTTTTTCTCAAAAAGAATGGATGAGCAGCCTGCTGTATAACCCTTGATTATGTCACAGTCTAGTCTGCCTGTCTTTGAGTTTTGCAGGCAACCTCTGTGGAGATAGGGCAAAAAGACAGTGAGGATCAAGTTAAGGAGTGGAGAGTGGTTACCTTTTAAGATATATCTAGTTAACCATGTCATTTTTTTCTTTTTTAAGACCCAGAAGATAGGAAAGAGACAGTTTGAAAGGCTAGGTTGTACTAATTACCCAAGATAGTCTGGTTACCTATGGCCTCTAAATAATGATTGAGACTGAACTGCTTGGACTTCCTTCCTTTTCATTCTTTCTAAGCTGTGGGAAACTTCAAAGAGCCTAGCCATGACTTTATGAGGTTTACCAGAGAATGGTTTTATAATTTAGAATGGTTCCTTGCAATCAGGAACCCATTCCGTCTTGTGTTTTTCTTACCTTGCTCTGAGAATATTTCAGATTTTCCTCTAAATTTTTGAGACCTGGGACCAATATAAAACAGGGCTTCTATAACCTGAATGCAATAAGAGAGAAGGTGTGTCCCTTTCTTCCCTGCTTCATTTCCTACTCTTCCATAGGTCCCCTTCTATCATCTGTAGTTAACAAATCCAAAACACTATAGAGTCTTTTTTTTTTCCTTTGGTATTGGGAATTGAAACCAATGGTGTTGTATTACTGAGCCACATCTCAGTTCTTTCATTCCTTTTAGTTTTTATTTCGAGACAGGATCTCTTTACATTGCTAAGGATCTTGCTTAGTTGCTAAGGTTGGCCTGGAACTTGTGATCCTCATGCCTCAGCTTCCCAAGTTGCTTGGATTATAAGCATATGCCACAGCACCTGGCACACTGGAGTCTTAATGAGAAATTATGCAATGGGCATGTAATCAGAAGGAAATCCAAAGGGACCTTTGAATCCTTCCCCCACCTCTACCCCTCTTTTTGGTACTAGGATTGAACCCAGGAGCACCTTACCACTGAGCTACATCCCCAGCCTTTTTTATTTTGTCTTGAGACAGAATCTAAGTTGCCATGGTTGATCTCAAACTTGAGCCAGTGAATCCTTTCTTGATAATCAACTATTGTCTTGCATTCTGTTCCAGAGAGATGAAGGGATGAATGCCCTTCTCCCAGACCAGCACTTATTTGTTCTCCAGAAGCACTCTGCAGGCCGGTTTGCTTTTAGTTTAGCCAGTACCAGGGTTGGATGATTAATCCAGGTACTCAGGAGGAGAGAGCATCTACTTGAAATGGCCTGAGTTCTAGTGGTTTTAAGAATGAGAGACTAGATAGAACAAGAAATAGAGACTGCCCACTGAAGTGAGCTTCCTTACTTGTTCTTGCCTCTGTATAAGCTGCATGATCTGTGGTCCTACCTTGGCTCTCTTTTTTTTTTTTTGTCCTAACCTTCCAGCAATGGAGGTTACCAGACTCCAGCCTCAGTGGAGATTGTGAAACAATTCTATATCACAAAGTAGAATCTTAGAACTGGAGCAATTTGAGAAGTCATCGTCCACCTTTCCTAGGTCTCCTAACTCTTATTTTGGGTTCCTTTCTTTGTTCCCATTCAACTTCACAGGGACAAGGGTGGGGAATTTCAAAGGACAACTCCTTACTCTCCCGAGATCACTTTGATGCTTTATTCCATTTCCTACATGCCCCCAGCCCAGTCATCTAAGGCCAGAGCTCTTTTCTCTGCTCAAGAATTAATGAGAGGTAAGTTCTGGCATTCAGACAGGTCTGGTGAATTGACCAGGTCCCTGGTCCAGAAGTTCTCTATTGGCTTCCCTACAGGCTCCACCTCAGGTACTGTATGTAATTTATTCTCTTGTTCCTCTCTTGCCATTGGCTTTATCCTAGTCTTAAATATTAAGACTCCCCTGAGCTTTCCTTAGCTTTATAATTTTGCTGATTTGTTGAAGCCCAGCTATCTCAGAGTATATATAGGTCTATAGCAAAGGTTTATCAGGAGCTGGATGAATGAATTCAGGTTTGTATGTGTAAGTTGACACATACCTTTTGATAATATTTTCAGGCCATGGAGTTTATTTCTAGTGCCTCCTTATGCTCCATATCTGCTGCCTGAAAGAGCCAGATATTAACTGCAGTCACAATCTTAGGCTCAGATTTAGATTGTATTCTCTGAGCATTTGTTTATCTATAAAATGGAAGTCAATGAAGGTTGGGAATCTGCTGTTCAGCTTTATTCTCTGTGCTTGCCCCTAGCTTCTCCTTAGTTGCTCTCTGACTGAAGGTAAGGCAGGGGAGATTGGTCCAGAGAGAACCATAAAAGGAGCTTTTTGCCAGGGGTTATTATTTTCTTAGACTGCAGGGCAACTGCAAGGCAGGGTGTCTTATCTATTTCTCATCTGACTAAAAGCCTGAAAATGCTTTAGCAAGCTAGATCTGTATCTAGCTCTTCCTGTGGGGATGGGAACTGCCCTGCCCTGCCCTGTTAGGAAAACTCAAGTTTCCAAATCAGACAGCAGGGGGCATAGGTGCTTTCAGACAGAAGGAAATTGCCTCAGTCTTAAGACTTATCAGTGAAAAATACAAAGGGTAGCTAAAATTGATGCAGTGGGTGCTCCAGGGAGCTGCCTTATTTATATTGTGCTGCCCTATAGCTGAGTTTATTGTGTTCTTAGGGCAGATAGCAGGATGCTGTCCCCTGGGATATATAGGATTTGGAAGCAGACACCAGCCTCCATCATTTCCCCCTCCAGCTCAGCCTCCTCTTCCCCAGCCTCTGCCTTCCACCAGTTAGTAAACAGTGCCAAGTGAATATAATTGTTTTCTCACTCTTCTCTGGGGGCTCACTGGCAGCTACTGCTTTCTTCATTTTTAAAAATTTATTTGCAACTTCATGAAAGCCACTGAGTTATTCTTTTTTGAGCCTCAAGCAAATTGGAACTTTTAGGGTATAGAGTGAATGAGATCATCCAGACCTCGTAGCCTTCTTGTGAAGCCAACAGTAAACATGGCCACTCACTCACCCAATCCTAGGGCTGTGTCCAGGAATGAAGCCACCACTGACTAATGCATAGGAAATATTAGAGGGGCCTGGTCTTGTACTCAGTTTGTCCAGTGTCTCCTCCACCCTTGGGGCCCTTTGGCCTAAGCTCAGGATGGGAGGGTCTGCCTTTCTAGCAGCTGCTTCAGCCCTAATCGAGCTCAAGGTGAGTAGTGGATTTTAAACCCTGCTCCCACATACCACTTAGCCTGTGTTTTCCTTTTCTCCTGACCAGGTCAACTGTCTTGAGCCCCACCCTCATCTGCCAGTGTTGGCAACCAGTGGCCTAGACCATGATGTGAAGATCTGGGCACCCACAGCTGAAGCTTCTACTGAGCTGACCGGGTTAAAGGATGTAAGTGGCTGACTGCAGAACTTTTCTTTCTACTTATTCACATGCTGTTAGGATTCTTCATTGCCATAGGAAGGAATGACTTGCTGCCCAGTTCTTTAAGGACATTACTCTTATGCCCTCCCCAAACATTCCTGTTCTTCTCTCTGGAGGAGCAGTCCTGTTCCAGGGGACAGCTATGAGTGCCTCTTGTTGGTAGTAGGATGGGGGGTAGGGAGCATTCTTTAGGAACTATTATTCTGTATTAAAGCCTCCCACCTTCTCAGTGTCTGAACCCAGGATATCCTTTCCTAATTGAATCTGGCTCCACTTCAGTGTAACAGCACCCAAGGAAGCTTTTATTGGGATGGAACACCAACCTTCTTGATTAGGTCCAGGGTCCCTATTCATTTACTGTCCCCAACCCCAACCCTTTTGGGTTTCAGGTGATTAAGAAGAACAAGCGAGAGCGGGATGAAGATAGCTTACACCACACTGACCTGTTTGATAGCCACATGCTCTGGTTTCTTATGCATCACCTGAGACAGAGACGCCATCACCGGGTAAGCTGGGGTTCGATGTGAGCTCCCAAGGGCAGTGACCCTCTTAAGAGGGCTACAAAGTTCCAGTGCGCACCTCCTCACTAAATTAAGGAGGAGTCAAGTGATCTTGGTTGGGTTTCCCATCCATTGGTCCCCTGTTCCCTTGAGAGCCCCCAGAGGAAAGGTTGGTGTCTGCTCTTATCTTCTGTCACCATACATGCAGAGTGCTATCTTCATAAGGGCAATGGTAAGAGGGTGGGAAGGGAGTGGAGAAGAAATGTCTTAGGGTACTTTTTTGTATTTACTGTCATGCTTGACGAGGCAGGGGTCAGCAAACTGGCAGTTGGCCTACTGCCAGTTTTTGTAAATAAAACTTTATTGGAAACACAGCCACATCCATTCTTCATATTGTCTATGACTGCTTTCATGGTACAGTGGCAGAGTTGAATAGCTTCGACAGAGACCATGTGGCCCACAAGTCTGAAATATCTACTCTTTGGCCCTTTAAGAAAACACTGCTGATCCCTGGCCTAGCTAAGACCTTACAGTCTTGTTCTTGATCAGGAAAAATACTAACAAGGCTTTCCCATTCCACAGCGCTGGCGAGAACCTGGGGTTGGGGCCACAGACGCGGACTCTGACGAGTCTCCCAGCTCCTCAGATACATCGGACGAGGAGGAGGGCCCCGACCGGGTGCAATGCATGCCATCCTGAGGCCTCATGCCTAAGAGGGGCGGGCTGGGGCTGCCAACCCGATCCTGCCTGGGCACTGCTTTCCTGACCCAGGCCCTTAAATTCAGCAGAAACGCACTTTGGACTTTTTGTTTAGAAGATATCCCAAGAGAAGGACAGACCAGACGGGGATTGAACCAGCAGACAGCACCTAGGAGGAGTGGGAGTTGAGCCCTGGAATGGGTTCTGTGGAGAGGCACAAAGGACTCAGCAGAAATGGCCTCTCCCTGAAGCTTTTTTTTGGGGGGTGGTGGGGAGCCTGTTTTGTTAACTGGTTTAGGATAGGCAATGGGGCTTCTTTTAATCTCCCTTGTTTCCTTTGTGGGGGTGGGGTGAGGGCAACAACTGGCTGTTCAGTACCAAGGGGCCAGAGTGGAGGGTAGGAGTGCCACTCGCTCTTTGGTTTAGGTTTTTGACCTTTTTTTCCCTTTGTTTTTTAAAGTCTATGACAGTTTCATTGTTTTCCTCCTGAGCAAATCTATCCCAGGATCCTGTTTTTCTGGGAAGTCCTTAGAGCCCTTAACCATCCCACACTTCTCACTTTCCACCTCATTCATTCTCTGTACTCATCACAGTGTTTTGCACTTGATTATGTATCCTTCACTCTCTTCTCTTCATCCCATCACCCCCTAAATAGGTCTGGTGAAGGAAATTGGAGAGAGGTGGGAGGAGGGGCAGAGGTGGAAGAAGAATAGGAAGGATATTACCTCTTCTGTTATTTTTTTTTTTTTTTAAGAATTGTTTGGTGGCAGCAATCTCCCTGTCCCTATCACTATTAGAGGCCTAATTTTATATCTATAAATATATTAAAAAGCAAGTCAAACTTGGATGTATCAAGTTAAAATTATTGTCAAAGTTTAAATACCTATATATTCTCTATGAATGCAATAAAGGGACTTAAAGGAAGAATGAGCAAGAGTAATGATGTCAAAATGACACCCATGGTTAACATGCCCTTTATATATGGCCATTAAAGCCTGGGGCTTACTCTTAGGTTTTTAGGAGGCTCAATAATGGAAGGATCCTCAGTTCTGCCCTTTTCTGCCTGGATATAGGGGTTGGAAAAACATTTTCTCTAAACTCTGCCTCAGATCCCCTAACTCTCCTTAAGTCTCATGGGAGCTCCCAGGATGGGTGTTGAAATCAGAGGCCGGCCTATTTTTAAAACATAACAGACCTGTGACATTAGAAAGGGCGCTGCCACCCACTGCCTACTCTCTCCCGATCTTGTGTATGACAGAAGATACACACATTCTCTTAGCTATGATTCTTTAAGCAATCCGGCTCCATATCAGCCCTTCCTAATGAAAATAGTAAAGGGCAAATTTCTTGGGTTTGATTTTATGTAAATTTTGTCCACCTCTTGGTATCTTGGGATTGAGGGACAAGAAAGACAGTGATCTAACCAGGCACAGTGGTGCATACCTATATAATCCCAGTGATTCAGGAGACTGAGGCAGGAGGATTTTAAATTCAAAGCCAGCCTCAGTAATTTATCGAGACACTGTCTCAAAAGGAAAAAAAAATATAGATTTGGGATGTAGCTCAGTACTAAAGCACTCCAGGTTCAATTCAAAGTACCCAGAAAAAGAAAGAAAACAGGATTCTGGTGGCTAGGGTTTGGACACCTCTCTTATCATTTGTCACTGAGTATGAAAATCCTATTTGAATTCTTGCCCTTAACTGCTTTTGCTGCTATTTCTCTGCCCCCAATTTCCACAAGATCCAGTTAGGAATTCTGCATCCTGGAACAGTTGGATTCTACTAAACCAGGCCGTGAAGAAGAGGGGGAAAAACTGAGAGGATGGTAGTGCCAGACATTCCTTCCTCCTGCCCCTTTTCCTAGCAGCTCTCAGACTCGATGTTAGCTATTGCACTTTCTTCCTGAGGTAGGGAATGTGTAGTGACTCGAGTGGTTTGTCTCCCTATTGCTAATGGAGTGATACGGTGGGACTTAAAACCATGCACTCTGGAATTTGTTGTATTTTCTCAGTAAAGCTTTCCCCCACACTCTGCTGCTGTGTGTGATATGTGGCCCATTCATTCATTATAGACTGCTTTTGTTCCTTCCATTGTAGGTGCTTAGTCTTGCCCACTTCCTCTGTTCATGTTAAGATTTTAGGAAGTCCAGTCTGGAATATACCTAGTTCTCTTGCTCAGGCTCCAGTTGGAGACGGTTTAAATGAAATAGGCCCCATTTAGCTCAGTGGTCCTTTGCAGATAGGGATGAGGAGGGGAGGATCCTATTTGGGGTGTTTTCTGGGTCCCTATACCAGGCTACAATAAAGAATGTAGGGGTAAATATTGCTCCCCCTCCCTTCCCAGTCATACAGAGGCTCCAAAATCCTGGTCACTCAAATTCTGGAATCCAGTACAGTACAATCAGTCACCTTTATTCCAGGGTTAGAACAAGGCCGTGCACACTGCAGATGGAGGAGCACAAGATAGGGGCAGCCTTACAGCAGGACAAAGGGTGGGAGGGCAAGTTAGTCTTTTTAGATTATTTTGCCTTACAGAGAAACTACTAGACTCTGCCGAAATAACCCCGTCTTTTCTTTTCCTGTTTATTCCATAAGGAAAGCTCTTTATTCTCATTTTCTCCCTCCCTCTCACTCACATAACATTCCAAATAAAAGGACCGTTCATGCTCATTTCCCTAATTCCAGTTCTTCATGCTCATTTCCCTAATTCCAGTTCTACAAGTATCTCTCCCTAAGGGAGAAGCCAGACAGGGCTGGGGAGAGTTGGGAAGGTCCTTTAAGGCAAAACCGTGGAGTACTCGAGATGTATATGTTAAGGCAGGTGTCTGCAACAGTAGCCAGAGGGGACACACAGACTGGGCTCAGCTAGGAGTCGAGGGTGCACTCTGATCAGTCTGACTTCTTCCCTCTTCCAACAGCCAGCCCGCTGCTCCCACTGAAGTTTTGCTCCCACATCCTAAAAGCTGCTAACTTCCAACTTTCTCTAAATAGTCTCAGTTTGCATGTGAATCTATTTTTTTTTTTTTTGGTTTGCTTTTTTTTTTTTTAATATAAAAAGCTTTTCTGTTTGGAATATGTAGCAATTTGCCTCTGCCACTCCTGTCATTGTGGCACTCCCTTGCCACCCCCACTCTGGCCTAGACAATAAGTTAATGCTAGACACCACAAAAAGGGCAGACATGGCAGTGCGGGTTTAATATACATATATGTAGAATATATATGTACACACAGTTAGCACGGTCAGGGTGGGAAGGGCATGTTGGGACAGGCAAGAGGCTGGGGTCACTCACTGTACTCTAGTTATTTGGCTAGGAGGCGTCCACAAGCCCAAGGGGGCCGGGGTGTCAGTGAGAAGGGTTACCAAGTCCCCTCCGAAGACTGAATTGGCATGGGGATCAGTGCAAAGGAAAACACTTCTTTCTGGCTTGGGGTGTTGTAGACTGAGTAGAGAGAGGGTAGTTGCCTGCAATATCCACATTGGGACCCTGTAGCGGGGGCAGGTTGAAATTAAAACCTAAGGATCTCATTTCTCAACCTAAGTTTGGGGTCAGTGTGTGCAACAGTCTGAATAGGAATAAAGGAGTGACAAAGGGGCCCATCCCTCTATGTCCCCATTTCAGGCTCAGTGGTGCATGTTCCCAGCCTAGTCTTTCCAGAGCAAAAAGGTGGGGGGTGGGGGTGGACACTGAATGCTGGCTGCTCCATAGGATTTGCTCTTAGGGACCAGGAAAGGATACAATGGTCTTCTTCCATTAGATCCCTGGCTTATACCCATCGTAGGCCCATGAGAGGAGCATAAAAAAGGGACCTGCTGGTACCTAGGCTCTCCAGCCTGAGGAACAGCAGGAAATGGAACTTTTTAGCTAGTCCAGCATCAGGATACAAACACTGAACTCTAGCTTTTCTTTGCCCCTTTCAGGTGGAGACTGGCCTCTTCGTCCTCCCTCCTTTCCTTCCCTGCTTTTCCTTAGATCTACCCACCATTCCCATACCTCACCATCTCAGCTCCTCAGTGTAGGAAAATGCAGGTCCTTTCTGCTTCCACATTTTTAAGATGTGGCCAGGAAAAGTGGAAGAAAGGGAAGTAGGAATGTGCCAATTTCTATTTGCATAGAAACAGCCCCCACCTCCCCCTTAGAGTGGGGAAACTAAGCCCCCCATCCTGACCCCCACCCCCTCACAAGGAGGAGGAACTAGATGAGCTAGACATATAGACAGACAGCCAGAGCGTGCGCACACGCACACACACGCGCACAGTAAGGGAGTTAGGACCAGGTTAGTAAGTGGGTGCATGGGAGTGCTGCCCTTGCCCCCTCTCTTGGAGGCTGGGGAAGGGAGTGATCTGATGAAGGTCCAACCTTCCTCTTCTTCCTCCCCCTTGCTCAGGCCTTCTTCGGTGGGGGAGCCAGTTTGATGATCTCTTCCTCAGAGGGCTGCCGAATAATGTCTAGGGGCAAAAAGGGATGTGTCCAGGGATGAAAGCTGTGGGAGGTGTCAGATAAACCCACTGAATACCAACATGCATGCTCCCCAAATGCACTTATTCCAGGGATAACGGAAGGGGTATGCCAAAGACATGAACTCTTACCTTTGTACTTCTTGGCGCTGGGAATGCGGGTTAGCTTGGTGTCCAGCTCATCCTCCTCAGAGATCTTCAGCACACGAGTTCTGTAGTCAACCACCATAGTGAGTAGGTCTGGACGGCGGGAGATCTCAAAAATGTGTTCAATATAGGAGAGGTTGTCTGGAGGAAGGCAGGAGACTAGGTCAGAGCTGGACAGTAGCAGTCCCCTTGCCTCTCTGACAGTGTTCTGGAACTACTACAACATTGGCTCTCAGAGGGCCACACTGGAAGAAGGGCTGGCTACTAAGCCAGGAAAAGAAAGCTAAAGCACCCACACAATGGTACAAGACTGTTTCCGGGAAGGGCAGGGAGTTGGTCAGTGAAGTTTCTAGGTTGTAGAATTAGCATGAGGGCTTTGAGCCAGGCATGGTGGCACATGTAATCCCAGTAACGCAGGAAGCTGAGGCAGATGAGATGGTAAATTTGAGACCACTCTGCGCAACTTAGATCCTATATCAACACAAGAAAGAAAAAGGGCTGGGGATGTAGCTCAGTGGTAGAGCGCCTTTGGATTCAAAACCCAGTACCACCACCAAAAAAAGAGAGGGCTTTGGATTCGATAGCAAGTCCCTGACAGGGTTAGGGAAAGGACAATAGAAAAACTGTCTTCCAAATACCCCACCCTCCCTAACCTTTTTCCACTTTCATCCAACCATCAGGAAGAATTTCCCAATAGCACACAGGGGTAGGAATGGTGAGATCCAAGAGTAGTTCTGGGCCTAGTAAGAAAAGTCACTCTAAATGCAAGATGTGGATATAACCAAAAGAATGATCACCCTGGTTTTCAGCCAGCTCCAAGATATTACTGATGACCTCAGACCTCTGGCTCCTAACCTTAGTATGTCCTTCAGCTCCCCTCCCTGCTCCCACATTTAAATCAGTCCGAATAATATTTCTGAAGAGCTCTGAGATCACTCACCTCACTTTTCTCTCAAATGTCTATCACTCAAGGCTCTCCACAACAGAGTTTTGACTTACCTTCATTCCTTCACAGCTACTTCTAAATATATAGAATGTCCCAGTCAAGCTAAGCAGGACTCTGCTTTTCCACACACACCAGAAACTCCCACCTCTGTGTCTGTCACTCTGCCTACCAGGCCCTCTGGATTCCCACTTTCCTTTCAAGGCCATCTTAAACTCCCAAGTCCTCCTCAAAGCCCCCAGCTGCATGGGATCACTCCAATCTATAATCCCCAGTCCCTCTAGAGCAGGAGTCTCTAAAAGCAGATAAAAGAAAGTTAGAACTTGTTTTATTTTAAATGCTGCCACTTTTAAATTGCTTTTATGTTCTCTATATATGTAATAATAGCACAGGAGTATCTGAATAATGCTTTTACTGCCAAGGGGCACAATGAAAACTGTCCAAGGCCTCCTGCCCCTTCCGTTCTCTCGCCTGCCTTGTTGAGAGGTACACGCATGTGTGGGAGCTCTGCGCTCATCTCTCTGCCAAGTGGACTGAGCCCCATCCCGCACCTTTGTCCAGCTTGTTGTGGCTCTCCAGGAAGCTAAACCAGGCACTGCCTGTGGTGATCTCCTCGCTCTTCTCACTGGGGATGTCCTCCTTGCAGGCTGACTTCAGCTGTTCCAGATCTTCAAGGGTGATGTTGTTAGTCAGGTCCTGGAGGAGGGTCCCGTATTCGGCCATGACTGGGGTGGGGAGGCAACAAAGGGAAAGGATTCTGGACTTGGTGTACTGAGTCTGATTCACATACTGGCACTATCCACACCCCCTCACTGCCCTGCCAGGCATGTGTCTAGAACACGGGTGGGCAGAGCCAGAGGAAGAAAATGAAGACCTAGGAGAAGCATTGGGGACAGACAGGAAAACACTTAAGACAGGAGCAGTGCTGGAGCCTAGAGTGATAAGTCATACTTCCCCCCTCCACTGTCTTTTTCTTCTTTTCCCCCCCTCTAACAGTAACCCTGGCAACAGCTCCCCTGACTGAGGAGGCGGTTACCATGGCAACCTGCTCCCGACTTTCTCACCCGCTGTTTCAGAGTCCCCCCCCAGAAATGCCCCACCCACTTCCAACCCCTCCCCCTGTCAAGGAAAAAAAAAACCACCTCAAAACAACATCAGGGAGAGGCTTGCTGTGGAAGAAGAAACTGTAAAAGAACTGGGGGGCGGGGGGTTGGTTGAAATGTTAGCTTCCATTCTTCCCCAGAAGCAAAAGGGTCCTCACTTCAACTGCCCACCACCCCACTAATGACTCACTTTGGAAGGATGCCTAGTTGCTTGGTCTGATGGTTCCCTGGCCCCTCCATGCATAGCCTCATATTAAGCCATCAGGGCCTGGGGTAAGGGGAAGCAATGGGCTATCCCCACTTTGCCCATTTTCTCCCTTCATCATCACAGGGGCCCCCACTCAGCCTTGTCTCCCAGCCTTTGTGCTGTGCTTGCAGCCCCCGCGCCCAAGAATACCAAGCGGCTGGCTCTGGCCCCCTGCCCAGTTCCCAGGCTTGCTGGGTGGTGGGGGGAAGGGCACCAAGATGCAGCTTCAGGAGAGTCTGGCAGGAAGGGGGCTGCCACCCCTTCCTGCATCAACATCCTGCTGGCACTGCCTTTAGCGTGGCCTCCCGCAGGGTGCTGGGCAAGACCACATATCATCTAGGCCTTCATTCATGATCCTTAGGTAAGAAGGTGAAGAACATTCAAGGCCTCCCTCCCCTAAAATAGGAACTGTAGCTAAGACAGGAAGAAAGAAGGATGAACCTTAGAATGAACTTGCTGGATTTGATAAAATGTGAAACACTAGTAGTGAGCTCAAAACAGGCACTTATTTCCTACAATGAGTATATCTCTTAAAATCAGAAGGGTAAAGCAAAAAAAAAAGGAAAAGAAATCATAGCTTGGTGCAGTGGCCCACACCCATAATCCCAGCAACTCAAGAGGCTGAGGCAGGAATATTGCAAATTTGAGGCTAGTCTGGGCAACTTAGGGAAAGCCTGTATCAAAAAGGACTGGGAATGTGGCTCAGTGGTAGAACATCCCTGGGTTCAATCCACAGTATCAAGGAAAAAGAAAAAAAAAAGCATGTCATAACCCTCTGTGGCTAGAACAAAGGGTAGCAAAAAGCTAGATGACCTTGTCCCTGACCGAGGATGCCATGAAGCACCCCAACATTGGACTGGGAATTTGGCAGTTCAAAGGGTTCAGGCTGACTGATACACTCCTATTTTCCTTACTTCTAGGCTCTATTGTAGGGGAACTGAGGCAGAGAGGCATGGCCATCACACAATAAGAGGTGTGGACCTAGAAGTCCCCACACCCAGCCCCCTTCTTGGACCAGAATAACAAGCCTCCCTTGGTGGCAGGCACCGTGACACAAACACACAATGAGCCAGACAGCAGGGCCAGCACGACCCCCACAAGAAACAGTCACTCATAGACACTCTCACTTGCACACCCAGGTGCAACCAGACAGAAGGGCCCAGCGGTGGCCCTGCCAGGCTGGACCAGGAACAATGCTCTCCGACTGTCAGCACCAGGAACCATCCCAGCCTTGAAATCTAGGTCACAGCAGCAGGCTCTGGAGCCCAGCCCCGCCTCCACTGATAATCCCAGGGCAGAAAAGGGTGGAGATGGGAGGGTTATGGTGGGGAGGGGGTCTGGAGATAAGGATAGGGACTGGGGGATGGGGCATGCTGGTTGGGAAAGCGCAGCATGAGAAAGAGACAAGAACCTGCCCCAGTGGATGAGACCCTGCCACCAAACCCTCAGCTTCAGCTAGGAAAGGGGGCAGTATTAGGGTCAAAACAGGCTTGGTTTCACATGGAAAAAGAGTTTGTAAATATGGTAGATCCTGTGGGAGGAATGAGTGCGAGTGTGCGTGCGTGCGTGCGTGTGTGTGTGTGTGTGTGTGAGAGAGAGAGAGAGAGAGAATATCTCGGGAAGAATTGAGATTTAGGGCTCAATCTAAAACACAGATCTATAAGGAGGTGGGTGAAACGGGATTAGTGTGTGTGACACACCCACTCACAAGGCTGGGGGCAGTGGGTAGGAGCTTTCGAAGAGTGAAACAGATACAAGGCCCCTAAGAGGAATGGGGGTGGGAATGTAAAGTGGCTAAGGGGGTGACGTGTATGTGCCAGATTCTATGTATGTGTGGATGCTGATCTCTGGGTGTGTGTACAGGTGTGTGGAGGAGGCAGTGGGTGTGTTTGGATGTTCTCGTAACTGGCTGTGAGTGTGTGTGGGATGTGTGTTTGTATGTGTCTGAACCAGCTGAGTGTGTGTAAGAAAGTACATAACCACAGGCTCCCATCCAGAGGGTGAGGGGAGCCTACAGAACAGAGGAAGAGAGCAGGAGACGGGAAAGGGAGAGACTGAGGCTGCAAATGAGGAATCCTAGGGGAAAGTGGGGGGATGGAGCTCAGAGTCCACAAGGCTGCGGCCTCAGCTCAGCTGTTAGCACAGCAACCTCGGTTCTGGGAGATGCCCCTGCCCCCCGAATCATCAGGACAATGATACCACTGGATGGAAGGAGAGTGAAGAGTGGGCAGTAAGGGACAACAGGATAGGAACAGGGCCCCCTAAGGGAGTAAGGAAAGGCCATGGTTACCTGCCTTTCTAGATCCCATTTGCCCGTGCCCAGGTGTGGCAGCAGAAGCAAGGGCAGAATAGATTGGGGGGAGGTATTTAGGGGTGGTGGGAAGATGGAATCTCCCTTATATGGGTCTCAAGACTCACTGATCAACTATTGTCTGGCGGTGGTGGGACTTGGCAGAGCCTGGCTCCTTCATCCTCCATGACTCTTTCCTCGTCAGAGATTTAGAACTACTTAGGGCCCACGGAGAAGTTTTCTGTCCTCCTTGCTCTGAAAAATCCTTCTGATCTCTGGGGCAGTGTAGAGGGCTGCCCAGGGAACACCAGGCATCCTGGGCGGAGGCCATTCTGAGGACAGGATACCAGCGCAGGAACTGGGAACCGGAGCTGAGGCTGCCAGGAAGTCGGTCCCCTTCCCTCCCAGCTCATTCTGTGTGCAGCTCACCGCTTCCTCATACCTTCCTTCCTTCCTCCCTCTCCTAAACTAGCTCCAGGTGGAGCCCTGACAAAGGTAGAACCAACTGACAAAGATGATGCTGAGAAACAGAAAGAGGCAGGAGGTAAGCATTGTTATATACTGACCTTTTAGGGCAGGAGTTGGGATGGTGGCAGGTGGTGCTCCTTCAGTAGGCACTGGGGGAGGAGGAGGCAGGCCCTGGGTCTGCTTTGAAAAGCCTGGCAAAATGGGACAACCATCTATGAAGGAAGTGGCAGCACCAAAAGAATTTTTGTGCATTTTGCTATTAATTAATGGTAGAGTATCCCCTCTCCCTAGAATTTGGTTCCAGTAATTTTTTTTTTTTTTTTTTTTTTTTCTTTTAGTACCAGAGATTGAACCCACGGCACTTAACCCCTGATCGACAACCCCAGTTCTTTTTTTCTTTTTCTTTTTTTTTTTTTTTGAGACAGGTTCATCCTAAATTGCTTAGGGCCTCTCTAAGTTGCAGTTCTCTGGAGTCTCTGGGATTACAGGCATGACCACCAAGCCTGGCTCGCCTAGCTCAGTAAATTTTTAAGAATCTCAAGAGAAACCAAGGATTAGGAGCTAGGAGTGCCCTCCCTCTTCCACATCTGCTGCAGCTGCCTCAGGCTGGGGGGAGGGGTCATCCTGCACAGCTGCAAGAACCTATAATGGGAAGGAGGGGACTCCTAGGCAATCAAGTCTGTAGGTCTTGTTACCTGAAGTTGGAGGAAGTAATGGAGAAGAGGTAGCGGGTAGGAAGGGAGAGAGTGTGGTTCTAGCTGTCCTATTTTAAATTATATCTGGGAACCAAATTCAAGCAGTCCTAAGTTTATTTCCTTTAATATCATACTTGGCTTCCTCCCCAAATTTCTATCCGGTTTTCTTTAGGGGGAAGGGGTGGGAGGATCATCTTCAGTCATGTATCAAAGGAAAAAGAGGATTCTGAGGTTTCAGGGTCACTCAGGGAGTAAGGGGAGGCAGGACACCTGGACCCCAAAATGTTCAGGCCAAGAAGAAAAACCTCTGGGTATGGGGACAGAGACAAAGCCTTCAGCCCTTAGTCTAATACAAGAACCAGACCCAAGATCTGACTGGGGTACTGCCTGCTCCTATTTCTGTCTCTCTCCCATCTCTATTTCCTCTCTCCCTAGTCTTTTGATGTCTTTTCCTCCTTCCCTTTCAATGGACATTCATCCCTTCTAGCTTTGCCTATTCACCCATCCCATCTAGTAGTAGCCATGAACTTCAAGGGCCAGTGACTGAATACTGAATACTCACAGCAACTATTTAGGAAGAGGTGAGGTCCAGGGTTCCGTAACTCAATGTCCCCGTCTGAATACTCAGAGCAACTATTGAGGAAGGGGTGAGCCTCCCTGATACAGTATTTGAGGGGAGAGACCTGAAGATGCAGTGGTTGGCTGCCCACTGTCTGGAGGGTCTGTCCTTCTTGACATTGTAGGTGAGGATCTATGTGACAGTGACCCACTGTATGACTCTGTAACCCTCTTCATGCATGACAACATATGTGCACATGATGGGCACAGGTGTCACAGAAATGAGGAGGAAGTAGGCACCTAGAAAAGCTGGCAGCCTAGGGCATCCTTGGCAATTTCCCCAAAGGAGTGTTTAACTGCAAAGGGAAGAGCAATTAATGCTAATCGCTCTGACAGCCTGGGGGCCACACACACAACCCAAGAAACAAGATACACAAATTCAGCCTGTGCTTCCTAATTCCCTGCTTTCATCCTCCCTAATTTCTTCTGGCCTTTTTTTTTTTTTTTTTTTTTTTAATGTACTGGGGCTAGAACCCAAGGGCACTCTTCCACTGAGCTACATCTCCAGTTTTTTGTTTTGTTTTTTTCTCTTTTGAGACAGGCTCTTGCTAAGTTGCCCAGGATGGCTTCCAACTTGTGGTCTTCCTGCCTCAGCCTCCCCAGTTGCTGTGATTACAGATGTGTGCCACCATGCCCAATTCATGCTTCCTAATTTCTTTTTAGTCCACTCTCCAGCACTCTTTTGCATCCTCTGACCATTTCTCTCTCACTTTCTCCCTTCCCATGATTCCCTGACTATATCTCTGACCCTCTCTGGCTCTGTCCCTTTCTCCACGTCTGTCTCCTTCTCACACACATTCCTCTCATTCTGTCTCCCTCTGACTTGCGCTCCATCCTTGGCTGACTCATACTCATTCTTTTTCTTCCTCTCCCTTTCTTCCACTCCCTCCTCCATTCCTTGGCCATTCTGATGTCCAGAAACTAGCCACTCCCAGTGCCCTAAGCTCTAACTGGACCCAGCTAGACAGGCCACCAGAACCCATATTACCGGGCTAAGAGCACTGACTCATTAGTCTTCAATGTCCTGTCTCCTTGTTCTAAAGGAGACCAGGATTTTAAAGCTGCCCAGAAAACCAGGATGGTCTTGGGGACAGTGGCCCCTTCTGTCCATTCCTCTGCTGTCCTGTTAAACTCATGTCTTGGAGCCCCGTAGTCCAGGAGACTCCACATGGGAGGCAGTGGGTTGTGGTGGGTGGTTGGATGTGTAGCACAGGGAAGGTTGTGATTTGGTGTGTGCGAGCCAGTATGTGTAAGAGTCACATGGGTGTGTGTCACTGTGAGTGCTGGTTGTTTCTCAGAGGTGTGCTTGTGTCCCTGTCAGTTTTGACACCAATTATATGGAATTAATTAGGGGTTTAGTTAGATACACCATTCCCCTACATCCCCAGCTCCTTCCTCCTTAAGCCCGGCCCCACCTCTCTCCCAGGTGCAAGTGGGCTGGGGTGAGGGCACATGGTGGCAGGCTGAGCTGGAGACGGCCAGCGGAGGGCCAGCGGAGGAGAGTCGGGAGCCAGAGCGGGGAGGGCGGGAGCGGCCGGCCGAGCCGGCTGGGCGGGAAGCAGGCTGCATCCTAATCCCAGGCCCCGGCCGGACTCCCAAACTGCCGATCGGCGTGGAAGGGGCGGCCGCAACCACGCCGCCTCCGGCCCGAGCGCGGTGCTCCGGACGCACGCAGAGACCGGGCCTGACACCGAAAGGGCCAGTCGGGGTCCCGGCGCTCCCCTATGTGTCCCCCGGCATCCCGGGTTGTCCTTCCTCCAAATCCAGACCCCAAATCTGTCCCCTTCCCTCGACATGCCCCCTCTGCCCCTCTCACCGCCTCCGGAGCTGAGAGCTCAGGGCGCGGGCACTCCCAGGTCCCCGGTTCCCGAGCAGCGTCCGGAGCCTCCTCCTCGGCTCCCGCCGCCGCCGCCGCTTCTGCCGCCGCCGCCGCCTCTTCCGCCCGCGGAGCCCGAGCCCGAGCCCAGCGCCGCCTCACCCCACCCGGCTGGCCGGTGATGTCAGAGCCGGGGAGGGACGGGGGGCGGGGAGCGGCAGGGGGGGAGGGGACGCGGGGCCGAGGGGCTGGGGTTCTGGAAGGCTCCGAGGAAGAGGGACAGAATTGGGCCGAGGGATGCCGCCCTCCCCCCTCAACTGTGAAACAATGTCCAGATTTAATTCTTTCCCAATGGGACACCTTCCTCCTCTTCTGATTTCTGGGTGACCACGACTGGGACCCCTGAGACGACTTAGTAAATCAGGGTTTAGGGATTTGACCAATGCCTTCTCTTAAGCTATTTGCTTTGGTATTTGGAAAAACCGCTCTCCTAGCTTTATGGATCAGGGGACTGGTAGTAAATGACCCCACTTATTCACCCTGGAAGTGGAGGCAGAGGGTCCCTGGCAAGAAGCAACATGACCTCCTTTACTTGACCTGAAACCATGGATTGTCTCTTTAGGGTGAAGCCAGACGGCCCTCTTGTGTCACTTTCACCTTTCTCAAATACACCCCACTCTTCCTCCTCCCCTACCAAGATGTAATTTTATTTTCGGGGGAGAAAAAGAGCAGCAGTGACCTCACCATGCAAATATAGACAGTTCCCGAAGCCACACTTAGCTCTGTCTCCTAGCTCTGCCCCTCTGCTGGGGGCCCAGAATGGTAGCTCTCACTTCCCCTCCACCTCAGGGACTTTCCTCCCCCAGATTCTCAGCCAGACTGAAAAGGAGGAAGGGAGAATTGGGGAAGCGTCTGTTTCTCCCCATCCCCAGCAGAAGGGTCACCTCAACTCTGGCAGGGTCTGGCCCTGGGAAGAGGGGTGAGAACTCTGTTTGTACCACCTCATGGAACACTTATCTTGCCTCGATTCCAACTTGAGGGAATCTGTTACACTTCCAGAAGCCTCAGATGAGCCCCTACTTTCTTAGGTCTACATTGCTCCTCAGCTCAGGTTCCTGCCACTTTGGGCTTTACAGCCTTTTTCTTTGCTCTTTTATCCTCAGCATTGCCCCTTTGAGAGTAACTCATCCTCATAATTTGCCTTTGTATATGTATCTCATTTGCTCCTTGTTGCAGGGCCAAAACCTATTTTCTTAATCCATCTTTGAGATTCAAGGAAACTGCATGATTTACCCACAGACATGCAGTATCTGGGTGAAATAAGACAGGCACCAAGGCACAAGGACTTGGGTTTCAAGCTTGCTCAACTCTTTCCTAAGACAAAGTATGCCCCTAAGCCTCAGTATCCTCACCAGTAAGAAGGGGATGCCAGTGACTGATTTATAGGGTCCTTCTGAGATTCAGAAATAGCAAGTCTCTAGAGACTGGCTATTTAAGATGGGTGCTTAAAGAAATAGGAACTATTATTTAGTCTGGGGTCTTCCACTGATCTATGCTAGACAGTAAGCTTAATAACATTTTTCTAATACAAAACTAGTGCCTGTACTGCTTATTAAACATTTGTTAAATGGTATTAGTTGGATGGATAAATGGGTTCTATTCTCTAAACTCTGCTGCTTCTCTAGGAACACTTTCTAGATTTGTCTGTGGAGAGTGAAAACTGGAAAATTAACCCCAGGTCCCAGGTTTTACTTAGCAGTCCTCGGTATACCAGCAATAACTTTACACTTGTTCCATGTAAACTATAATTTGTTATATATGGATAGTTCAGCAGTTTGGTCCTCCCTGCCCCCAATTGCTTTGTGCCCATCCAGCTTGGACCTATCCTGGAGAGTCTGTGGGTCCTTCCTGCAAAGAACTCTTGAAAGGTCCAGGTCTAGGGTATCC